CTGACTCCTAGTGTCACACTAGGGAAGGATGTGGTGTGGCTTTGTAATGGGTCTCCTCCTTGGTCACTCAGCGGCGGGCTCAGGAACTGCCTGTTTTACAGAGAGGCCTGTGTCTTTCAACAGGAAGGGCCTAGGTCCTCATCATAACACATCAATCCCATATACCACATTATTACAATTTATTTAAACAACTGCATATTTATAAACATTTATGTTTCCATTTTCAGTGTTATAAGCACCTACTTCTGTGAACAACATTATCCCAGATGTAGATCTCTGTGCACTTGTTCTGGTTTTCTCCTGGAATAATTTACTAGAAGCAGTTGCCACGTCAGCGGGCACATGCGCTTGCTGTTTAAAAGTCAGCTGCCGGTTTATACTTCCTCTCGTAGCCAATGAGGGTATCAGTAATTTGTCGTGTGTTTTTGTATCATATCTCCAATACAAAAAAAAACAGGTGCCCAAGGTGCTAGACAAGTGCTGTACAACTGAGCCCTAGCCTCGCCCTGGGTAGCCATGTTTTAAACTGTCAGTTTAGCAGCTGAGAAGTAATGTAAACTTGATTTTTTTCATGGCAGTTAGTGGATTTAGCATATGGACACATTGTCCGTGCACCACGTATCCCTTTCCTTTGGTACCGTTCTCTTGTGGGTGTGGTCTTTTCCTCGCTAGCTCATGTGAGCTCTTCATATATTAAAGCAGTTACCATATGCTGGAAAAGTTGCTGTTATTGGTTTAGGCCAGCAAATGTCTCAAACTTTGTTTAATGAGCTACAGTTTTCAGATTCTCCTTTAGAGAGACAGTGGTCCCCATTGTCTTCTCACTTGGTGTTAACAGATGAACTTATATTTACTATAAAGAATAGTCCTCTTTCTACAAAGATCTAATCTGTCAATAAAACATTTTCCCTTATATTTTATATTACATGGACCTTTACAACAGTCTACTGTTTTGTTTTGTTTTGTTTCAGTTATGAGGCCCACTACTCTGTGCTTAGCAACCTATGTTTGGAGTTTGTCAGAATTCAGACAGAGAAAGTCCTGTCTTCTCTCAGCAGAGATCTTCAAGTTCCTCTCTGATCATAAATCCAAGTCTCATGGAAACTGTTTGATTTTTTTCTTTTTCTTTTTTGTGCTATAAATAAAGTGAGGCAGAGCAGCTCTATTTTTGTGGCCAGTGTATAATTATTTTCTGTCAGGAAAATTAAGCTGAGTCCTATGGTAAGCTTGCTCTCCCTTATGTCCCTGCAGACGTGAGGACCCCTGGGCCAAATGCTGTGGGCCTCTTTGCTGGGGAATGAGCGAGCTAGAGAAGAGATGACAGAAGCTGGGCCCAGAGTCCAGTGCCACAACCACAAGAGAGAAGGCTATGGATGTGGGCAACTCAGGTTGTTTTGCACCTAACATTGCCCACTGTTACCAGAGTTGATAAGATTCATCACTGCCATAGAGGTAGACAGAGGGAAACGTTGGCTGGGTCCCTTGGATTCGTGGGTATATGCTCACAGGTAAGCAGTTCGTGCGGTGTGTAGAGAAAGGTTGCTTCTAAAGGCAGGGAGAGTTCTTCAAGGGAGTTACTTCTCTGGGCTGTTGACACTGTCATCTTTCAGTATGGCTGAATGCCAAGCCTCTCACCTCCCTCGCTGCTTCTCTTTCAGTGGACGATGCCACTGGGGTTATAAACTGCGTCTGCTGGAAAAAGAAGAGCAATTCTGAATCTTCCTCAGGTAATTATGTTTGCCACAGTCCTTTGATTTCGCTCAAGGTAGCTCATCCAACAGCTGTCAGTATTTTCACATTAAGCTGCTGCCGGGCTGCATTGGTGGCCCTGATAGCCTGTCCCCAGAGCTTTGGCTGCTAGGCTGCATCGGTGGCCCTGACATCCTGTCCTTATAGTAAAGAAGGGCAGTTGCTTCTCTCCTACCTCCTTGGTCCTCATCTTCTCCTAAACCTAAGGACTGAGAAAGGGTTTCTGGAAATTTCTACCGTATATATTGTTTTGCGAGCTAGTATGTTGTAGCCTGATGGCCCAGCAGGTCAGAATTCCTGAGCAAAGATTTTGAAGATTGCTCCTCCCACATGTGTGCAGTAATGTCTCTGCTACCATGACCCAGTTTTTCTGAAAACTCTAATATATTCAAATATATAGCAAGGATTCAAACCTTGTTAAGATAGGACTCCTTTGGAAGTTAAATGCTAAAGTAATATACATTTTAAAAGTATATATTGAACACATTGACAAACTAAAGCATTTGGAATTATGTGAATATATTTCAATGATGTTTGGTGTGTGTGTGTCTTTGTGTGTGTTTTTGTGTGTGTCTGTGTGTCCGTGTGTATGTTTTATGCTGCTAGGGATAACATCTAGGACCTTACACATGCTGGGCAAGAGGATAACATTTGAAATGTAAGTAAAGAAAATATCCAATAAAAGAAAATTAAAAAAAAACATGCTTGGCAAGTATTCCACCTAAATTAACAGCCCCGGCCCTCTTGGGTAATTTTTTTTAAGTTCATTTACTTTATTTTATGTGTATGGGTGTTTTACTTGGATGTATACCTGTGTAGCATCTGCATGCAAGGCCTACAGAGGCCAGCAGAGAGCGCTGGATCCCCTAGAACTGAGTTCCAAAGGGTTGTAAGACACCATGTTGGTGCTTGGAACCTAACCTGGGTCTTCTTCAAAGGCAGAAAGTGCTCTTAACCGCTGAGCCTTGCCTCTAGCCCTTTAAGTAACTTTTGAAGTTTTCATGTTTGGTTCTCGGCACCCACATGGTAGCTTTCAGCCATCCGTAACTCCAGCTCCAGAAATCCAAAACCCGCTTCTGATTTCCTCAGGCACTGAGCATGCCTGTGGTGCATACACGTGCATTCAGGCAAAATGTTGGTGCACTTAACAAAATTAATTTTTTAAAAATTAAATTAAGTGCCGGGTGGTGGTGGCGCACGCCTTTCATCCTAGCACTTGGGAGGCAGAGGCAGGTGGATTTCTGAGTTAGAGAGTTTGAGGCTAGCCTGGTCTACAGAATGAGTTCCAGGACAGCCAGGGCTACACAGAGAAACCCTGTCTCGAAACAAAACAAAACAAAACAAAAATAATAATAATAATAATAAATTAAGTTCATAATTACTTATAGGGTATTCTGCAGTGTTAGTGATCCTTTTAGGCTCCGAGAAGTCACAGACACCGACACTGTCTTTTGTTCCATTTTGTACCATATGAAGAATGATGGCATCCATGAGGGGCTATCATGTTTCTTGTTCCAGTGTGTAACCTCCGGTGTCTGCTGGTTCGTGCTGGATGCCGAAGGAATGTCTCCTGCTTATGAGCTTTCCTCCTTATCTTTACCATATTCTGTGTCAGAATCCCAGCTTGCCTTTGGCTGTCCTGACCAATGACATGCTCATTTGTCTAGGAGTTAGCTAGTCCTGTGTAATCTCAGCATGCCTGTCCCTAATTTGAGAAGATCTAAGTTGGTGGCTCCACTTTGCATAGAAGGCAAGAGATAAACCTGTAAGACAGTCAGACCCAGACCTTTGTGTGGTTTGGGTACTTATCTTGGGTGCTTATGTTAACTACTTTTCCAATCACTATGACACAAAACCTGATAATTGGTGGGGGGAAGGAGGAGATCACACTGGCTGGCCTGAACTCACTATGCAAGCTAGCCAGAGATCCACCTGCCTCTGCCTTTCAATTGTTAGGGTTAAATGCACATGCCACCATGTCTGGCTGTCAAAGGGACTTAAGGATGATGACATTTCTACTCATCATTAGGCAGGGAAGGCACAGAGGCGGGTGAGTGATGTACCTGGTCACAGTACAAGCACAGGAAGTAGAGGAAGATGAAAGCTGCTGTCCACTGCTTTCACCTTCCTGTCCATCTGCAGGCAGGGACCGCAGCCTGCGGAGTAACACAGCTCAGACTCAGGGTGGAGTTCTTCTCATTAATCCTCTCTGGAGACATCCTCACCAACAATGTTCCCAAAGTGTGTTTCCATGGTGATTCTAAATCCAGTCTAGTTGACAGTGAAGATGAACCGTCCCAGTGCTGTTCCACAGAATACTCGAGGCAGGTCATTTATGACAAACTGTTTGTTTATCAGGCCTGGAGGTTGGAAAGATGGCTCCTTGAATGTTGCTCCCTCTGGAGTGTTGCTCTCGTGGCCAAGGAGCAGGCAGAGAGCAGCCCTTCTGCCTTCTGCACACTCTGCCGGTAGCGCTGACTCACCCCCTGTCCACCTCCTAACACTGTTGTGTTATGGCTATAGTCTGGATGGACATCTCCTGCCGGTCCGTGTAGAGAAGGCTTGGTCTCCAGGCTTGGCAGGAATGGAAGGTCTTATGGACATGTAAGAGATAGGAACTAATGTGAGGTCCTAGGTCATTGAGGACATGCTATCAAAGAGGATTATGGTACCCTTCCTTCCTCAGTCTCTTTTTGCTTCCTGGCTTGGACACATGCTCCTGCTATGACATGCCTCTCTTTGCAAATCATAGAGACTGCTTGACCTCGGAGTTGTGTATCCAGACCTAGGGGCCAAAATGCAGCGTTCTGTTTCGTAAGGAGTCTGTTGTGATTTCATTCCCTGGATGGAACACTGGCTGGTATAATCTGGATACAGTTTCCAACACATGAGACATGAAGGGTAAAAGCGTGCAAACCGCAGCAGCATTGTGAGTCATTGGCAGATTTATGGCTTTACGCAGCCCTTAATCAGAAGGTGCAGTTTGTCTGCCACACCTGAGACGGGGAGGGTGAGCAAACTTCTTCTACAAAGGGACACATGGTATGTTTTTTTCTGTTTTGTGGACGTGATCTGCCTTAGCTATTTTACACTGCCATTTTAGCACAAAATGGACAATGGTACAAGAGACAATCAGGCTCTGTCCCAGTAAAACTCTAAACAGGTTATAGATTACTTTGTTCTGTGGTTTAGATATTGGTTTTGTTTTCTAAATTATCTCTGTTTTGGTGGGGACAGGGTCTCACTGTGTGGCTCTGGCTGCCCTCATGCCCTGATTCCCTTTGTCTCTGCCTCCCTAGTGCTGGGATCAGAAGTGTGTGCCCCCACACCCAGATTACTTCACTGCTTTTAAAGAAGAGGCACAATCTGCGGGACTCTGGAGCCCCTAAACGTAGTCATAGTGATGTTTTAGATGAACACAGTGGTTGTTAATATTGAACATGCCAAAAGGAAGAAGTCCTAAACGTCCGAAAGCAGGCGAACCAGTGAACAGTTACAGAGCAGTCTTCATTTAAAGCTACTTTGCAAATATAAAGAAAATGGTTTCTGGCCCTTGTCATGTTACATGTGGGATTTTTACACTGCTCCCAACTCACTCATTCTTTCCTCTTAATTTAATTGCCTAAAGTTTAAAGGCTTTCATTGGAAGGTGGCCAAAAAAGATCATTTTTAAAAAACAGAATTCAGTGTGAGTCAAAATCATGTTCCAATCAATTAAGTAAAAACTATGATATAAACCCTGTGGACGTTACATTGACTGTACCATTTACACTTAGTTTATGAACAACGTTAAGACAGGTTGGCCCTCACCATCAGAATGTTAAAGGGGATTTCTCTTCAGGATGGAATAGACTACTGAAATGGAGTTCTGTCAGGCTCCAGCTGTCTCAGTACATTCAGTAAGTCACACGCTAGAGCCTTCTTTCATCAATTTGGCTTACTCTTTAAATGAAAGCGAGGCCTCTTTTCTCAGATCAGCCGTCAACCTGATAATGTCAGTGGTGCCACATGAAGCTTCTTAGTGTCTCCTATGATGTCTGCACGTCTCTGATGTGGCATTGAGGTTGTAAATACCCCTAAACGTGGGAGTGAGTACAAGAGGGCCTGGGGGTAGGAAGGTGGGGAGAGAGGGCCTGGGGGTAGGAAGGTGGGGAGAGCAGTCTTTAAAAACTGATCAATGGGGTAAGCAGCCATCGCTCTGCATCTGGTTTCCTAGGTATTGGTTGCTGCATGCGTAGTTTCTTGTGCTTCCTGTGTTGTTATGGACAGCAAATGTGTATTAGTGCTGCTACACATTATAAAACCATGGCTGTCAAAACCGTAGTTGGTCAGAAAGCAGAAAATTTGAGCAAAAGACCAAAACAAAGATTCCTCTATTAGTAAACCCTACTGAGACAAACCAGAGCTGTAGGAACTGCATCAGCAGTTAATAAATGTCTTTTCAGGTAGAGAATAGTAGCTGGAAAGAGTTGGCCATGATTTCTCCTATCCTGCAGCTTACATAAAGGAACCTGAGGAAGACACGTGTGTCTATCCCAGCAAATGTGCTATGCTCTAGAAACTCCTAGCTGCGGACTGCTAAAAACTGGGGTAATAAGAGGCATGGATTTAAAAAGTCAAGATATTTTTTAAAACTCTTATGCAAGAGAGTAAAATCAAATAGATGTTAAAAATAAAGCAATAGACAATGTGTGGGATAGGCCTAATGGGCACAGTTTGCTAGAAGTTTACTGAAACCAACAGTGTGGGCTCCTCAGCAAGGAAACACTGAGTCTGACATCTCTTATAAAAACAGCCAGCTCGGTATCTGGGACAAACCAGTAATCCCAGCATTTGGGAGGCAGAGGCAGTGAAAGTCCCCAAAGGGAAAAAAAAAAGTAACCTAGAGAGCTCAGTCATCTGTTGTCACAAATAGCACAGTTGTCGCTTCCTCTGTCCACAGTTGAGTGATGCACGGCAGCCGTGTGTGTGTGTGTGTGTGTGTGTGTGTGTGTGTGTGTGTTAGCAGTAGTACTTGTAGACTACCATTCTCCTCATTTCCGATTTGTTCATTTGAGGAGAAAGGGAGATCAGAGTGGAGAAACAGCATACATGGGGATGGGGGGTCACAACAGCTAAGAACCCAGCTGAGATACAGGTTGGCTTTCTCTGACTCCAAGAGCCAAATGCTGCCTTCTACCTGCCCTATGCAGTGATAAAAATCAAAATGAGAAGCCATCAAAAGGGAAGAAATATGCAGCCAGGCTTCCAAGTGACCTGCCATGTTAACATGACAGGATGTTATGTACTAGGAGATGCAGGAGTGTTCGAGGCCATCTAGGGTTGCGTAGCAAAACCACATTTCAGAAGCCAAAGCGATAACGAGACACAGAGTCATGCAGCTTCTGTGGCCACATCTGTATTTGGAATTACAGTAGGCAGAAGAAGAGAACAGCGTCTCTAATGAGCCCCTCTGACTACAGAAGATGGCCGTATCCTCTGGGGCAGGCGGTGCAGAGTGTAGTGTAACCAATCTCTGCAGCCAGGCACTCCAGTTCAAACTGCAGCTTTCCTTCTTTTGAAAGAAGACTCTGACTTTGGAAAGTTGCTTGACCTCTTTGACACAAGTTTCTCATCTCTGAAATGGAGCTCCAGAGGGAGCAGCTGTGAGGGCTGGGTCTGCTGGCTCATTACACAGTCCACAGAAGAACACCTCTCTGCCCAGTGTGAATCTGCTGACTCATTACATAGTCCACAGAAGAACACCTCTCTGCCCAGTGTGAATCCGCCGACTCATTCATTACACAGTCCACAAAAGAACACCTCTCTGCCCAGTGTGAATCTGCCGACTCATTAGACAGTCCACAGAAGAACACCTCTCTGCCCAGTGTTTGTTTCATATAACTTAGAAGTAAAAGCTAGTGGTAGAGATTATTTAGGGTCGAATGTACATTAGCTTTTTTTCTCTGTGAGGTGAAGGTTAAAGATAGGAGAGAGTACAGTGCGCATGTGTGAGGGAGAAGGGTGACACTGATGTGAAGGATGAAGTCTCTGCACAAATACTTCTGTTATTATTGTTTTGAGACAGACTCTCACTATGCGCTGCAGACTAGCCAGAAACTCCCCACCCGCCCTGGTGTCGTCTTGAGTAGCTGGGGGTTACCAACATATACTGCCACCCCGGACCCCTCATTCATACTCCAAAGAGTTGTTTGTAGCCTAGCCAGGTCTGGTAGTGCAGTCCTATAATTCCACCTACTTGGGAAACTGAGGCAGGTGGGACATGAATTCCGAGTCTGACTAGGTGGCTCAACAGTTAAGAGCACTTGTTGTTCTTCCAGAAGACCTGAGTTCAGTTCCCAACACCTCTGACCTCTGCAGGTGTCTGCATATTCATGAACATACCCTCACACAGACACACATACGCATAATTAAAAATAAAATCTGTGCTTTCAAAAAGCCTACCTGGGCTAAAGAGTGAATGAGTTCAAGGTTAGCCTGGGCAACTCATTGAATTCTTGTCTCAAAATAAAGTAAAATAAAACTGGGAGTGAGATGGAGAGGTGCCACTCACTAGGGTTTGCCTAGCACGAGAAGGCCCTAGGTTCAATCTCTAATATGGCAAAAAAAACAATATAAATCATTCAAAATAGAGGGCAGTGTAGGCCTGTTGCCCCTAGTTGCTCCGAACATGTGCTCAGGGCTATGTAGAACCTCTCGCACTGGTGATGTAGGAGCGGGAAGGACGTTAACAGCCACCATAGAGCTTGCCCACTTGGCCTCACTCCAGAATCTTCTCCCTTTGTTCTGCCTTTGGATACACTTCTGTCTTAGGGTTTTACTGCTGTGAACAGACTCCATGACCAAGGCAACTCTTACAAAGACAACATTTAATTGGGGCTGGCTTACAGGTTCAGAGGTTCAGTCGATTATCATCAAGGCAGGAACATGGCAACATCCAACAGGCATGGTGCAGGCGGAACTGAGAGTTCTACATCTTCATCTGAAGGCTGCTAGAGAAGACTGGCTTCCAGACAGCTAGGATGAGGGTCTTAAAGCCCACACTCACAGTGACACACCTACTCCAACAAGGCTACACCTAATAGTGCCACTCCCTGGGCGAAGCATATGCAAACCATCACACATTCTTTCTGCTTCTGGGTAGAAGGTTTGAAAAGGTATGAAGAGCTCTTATAACAGAGCACCTTATCAGGAGAGCAGGCGTACTGGGTTTCTCTGACCCTCCAACTATGTCCCCAGCGTGGAGGAGTCCTCGATTACAGCTCTTCTCTTTTCACCTGGCCCTGACAGATACAGCCGTTCTCAGCACCACGAGAGAGCTGAGGATGACCTCACAGCTTAAGAAGCTGCAGGAGACCATCGAGCAGAAAACCAAGATAGGGATTGGGGATGTCATCCGAGTCCGAGGCTATGTGCGCATGTTCCGAGAAGAGCGAGAGATCTGTGCCACCATTTATTGTAAGTACAGCAAGTCTCTGCCGAATGAGCTGCCATTCTGGGTGTGCGCTCAGTAAATGCTTGTTTAGCTCAAAGTCAGACTCCCAAAAGGTTTACAGAAGATTTAAGCCTGTTGGGGGGAATTACGTTTTAGCATGCTGTTTCTAGGAAAACAGCAGTTTAAAATTTTCTTTTGAAGAATGTTAATTAGAAGTAAATTAGGAAACAATGAATTACTTGACTCTATTTGGTTGGTGAGTTTACTTGGATAGTAGCATCATTTCTGAAGCACTTTGACATTCTAAATGTCAGTCTGTTATGGCCGAGTGTTGTACTAGTTCAGCATGACTGGAATGTCTTGAACACCATGAAGCTCATCAACTGTAAGGAAAAGAGCTAATTAGAAGTAAATCCAAACCACCCGCTTTGCAGTGCGCTGGTTGGTTTTCAGCTGAAAATCTTAAAAGTAGCCAGGCATAGTGGTATATGCCTTTACTTCCAGCACCCAGGAGACAGGCAGACAGATCTTCCTGCATTCGAGGCCAGCCTGGTCTACATAATGAGTTCCAGGCTAGCCAGTGCTACATAGGGTAACCCTGACTCAATAAATAAATATATATAAATTACAAGGACTGTCCCAGTAGTCCATCAACATAGCATATGGACTGCTGGTGACAGACCTGTCTCCAGTCTAGATGTGCGTGTCACACAGAGAACATCGCCTTCTCTCTCAGGATGGCGCGCACTGTTCTGTGACTCTAGACTAGTGTCCCAGTGGGTATTTGGCCCTGGGAAGACGTTCTCTCAGGGTCACTCCCGTGGCCTCTCTTTTCTGGGTTGTTAGATAAGGTGGATGATCCAGTGTGGAACATGCAGATTGCACGGATGCTTGAGCTGCCGGAGCTCTACAAGAAGGTGTACGACCAGCCCTTCCACAACCCAGCCCTAAAGGAAGAAGAGGCACTAAAGTAAGTCCCTGTCATCGCTGAGAACAGCATGGCCTCAGGGAGCCTGGCGGTGGGAGCCGGAAGCTGGGGTCAGCCAGGGTACAGATCATCAATATCCTCCACCTCCCTGTGCCTCAATTTCCTCTCCTGCAAAGTGAGAGCGGCTACAACATAGAGCTACTAGGGTCGTTGTGAAGGAAACACAAGCATACTGTAATTATTATATATCGTGTAAAATATTGTAATTGGAGTTACTGAAGGGGTGGAGGGAGCACAGACGGATATTCGGATGATGGCTGAAACTTGCTCAAGTTAGCTGAAAACTAGAAACTCAGATCCAAGAAGCTTAGCAAGCCTCCAGGTGAGAACCACGGCGAAGACTGCACTGAGGCACACCACAGTCCCCTCCACAAAGTAACATGGCACCCTGCACCCTGACCCCAACTCTGTGTCTCCCCACTGTAAAACAAGAACAAAAATCAACTGGGTTGTTCTCAACGAGGATGGATTTCACTCCTATACAGAGAGGACAGAAAGCCCAGGAGGGGTATGAGTATACACACATTTGCTCACATAGGAGGGAAGGAAAGCAACTTAGGAGAAGCTCCCTAGAGGCTTCAAGCTGGGAGGACAGAATGAGGAGGTGTCTTAGGGTCACTGCTGCTGTGATGGGGCACATACTCAAAGCAGCTTAGGGAGCAAGGGTTGACTTGACTTACACTCCCAGTTCACTGTTCTTCATCAAAGGAAGTCAGGACTAAAACTCAAACAGGGCAGGAACCTGGAGGCAGGCGCTGATGCAGAGGCCATGGAGGAGTGCTACCTACTGTCTTGCTCCCCAGGTCTTACTCATTCTCCCTATAGGAGAATGCAGGACTACCATCCTAAGGGTGGCCCCACCTACAATAGGTTGGACCCTCCCATGTCAATCACTAATTAAGAAATTTTCCTACAGGCTTGTCTGCATCCTGGTCTTCTGGAGGCATTTTCTCAATTGAGGTTCCCTTTAGATGACTATGGCTTGTGTCAAGTTGACATAAAACTAGCCAGCACAGGGGATAGTTTTTATTCTGTCTTTTTAATTTTTACTTATTTTATTGGGTTGGCGGCAGAGGGGTTAGAGAGTCAGCTCAGTGGGTAGATGTCCCCGAGAGTGAGCACCTAAGTTCAGATCCTGCCCTGTAGTAAAGTCTGGGCAGGCTGGTGTGCACTGAAGGGCATGGAAGCAGGGCGATCAGCGGGCTTGCTGCCCTCTTCCTTATCTCTAAAGTCAGTGAGAGATCTGCTCTCCAGGGAGTAGGTGGAGAATAAAGCAGGGCACCAGCATCTTCAAGTTCTGGCATCTGCATGCACACACATATACACACACACAGAGTGCACTCATACAGCACACACATGCACACACACAACATTCATGCACAGCATGTGCACATACACACAACCATCACACACAGTGTTTCTTCCTTGGTAGAGGATGATCCAGGATCAAACTCATGCTAGGTGAATTCTCCAGCACTGAGTCTGTACCCCAGCCCTCTTTAGCTTTTCAAACATGTAAATATATTACTTATTCAGTAAGTCAAACAGTACAAACAGTAGGCATGTGTAACACGGAGAGTGGACACTCTCTCAGCACTACTGCCCAGAGGGTTGCCAGTGTTCTTTAGATGCCTGCACTCTGTCCACACACAAGCATGAATGTCACCTAGATATTTGGTGGGATCTCTTCTCCCCTCACAAACACGGCCCTCTTCCACGCTGTTCTTGACCCACTTTATGATCCATCATGAGTGTCCCATCGAGTGTCCCATCGAGTGTCCCATCAAGTGTCCCACCAAAGCTACACAATGGTCACTGTATGAATTACCCTTTTTATAAGAATAAAACAAAACATCCTCAAAAACAACAACAAATCAAAACAGGCACAGTACAGAATAGATCTCCCAGTCAGCTTTTGGTTCTGTGTACTCCAAAAGGAGCAAAGCGATGGTTTCTTTGTGCAGGGCATTTTAAAACTTTGCCCCTTGCAGCAATAAAGACACTTTGGATCTCGCTGGCCTCACGTCTTTGTTGAGTGAGAAAGTTAAAGAATTCCTCCAGGAGAAGAAAGTGGAAAGCTTCTTCCAGCAGGAGTTAGAAATGGTGGAGTCCTTGCAGTCTCTGGCCAGTCAGCCTGTGACCCACAGCACGTGCTCGGACCAAGTAAGTGCAGCACATTGGGACTGTCGGGGAGGAGGGAGACACAGGCACATGAGTGACTGGTGGACAGACTCTACAAGCAGAGGTCACCGTTCTAGCATGTGCAGTTTCTATTCTGAAAAGGTCGCTAACCACGAAGAATTTGAAATGCGCTGGACCTGCCACTTTCTGCTCCTTACATAATCACATTGTACTTAGTGTCTGAGGAGAAAGTAACGGTAGCCTGAGGTCACGGCACGCAGTTACCAGTACTCACTGAGGTTGGCGTCACATCATTCAGGAAGATAAGAGGAGACAATTATCCTCTACCCAAGAGGATATATTGATCAACAAGATGATACCTGAACCAGAGTTTTTAATGACTTGCTCTTTTTTCCTTGGAAAAGTTTAATCTGTCCTGTTGTAGGAATTCACGTAAAGGCCAGGTTGCATCCAGTCAAGTCTGTAGCTAAAAAAGTGCCTCGTACCAAACAGTGCTCCCATTCCTCTTGGAACAGCCCAGCCTTGCACACCTAGTGTTTCTGGTACACCACTTTGGCGTTTGCTGTTTCTATGTTAGTACAAAATTAAGATTTAGTAGATATTCCGGGTTTAGGCTGTTGCTTGGATTACTGTTGTTGTGTTCACTGCTGTTGTGTGTGACTTGTGTATTTACTTCTAAGTGAATAGTTTTGGCTTACAGTCATCTTCTGATGCCTCATCCACTCTGAATGCTGTTTGCCCTTCAGTGTCTCCACAGATCTGTATCTGTTACGCGGCTGGCTCCTCACTGTTCTAACCTCAGGGCATCCCTGTCTGGTGTCACTGGTACTCACCCTTTCTGCCCTCAGTTCCATCCATGTCTGTGATGTCACTGCCACTTGTCCCTCGCAGTCCTCACCCCGTTGCAGGCTCCAGCTCTTTGTTACTGAAAGAAATGATGATTCGTTTGGGTTTTGCTTTTTTTTTTTTTTTTTTTTTAAATCTAGATGATCCTTGAGAGTGGCGGGTGTGTTTCCTTCCCACCCTCTCCCACCCTGCTCTGATCCTGCCGCTGGTCCCTGAGCATGATGTTGGCCAAATGCTGTGCCTGTATTGACAGCAGTGGCTACCTCCCTTGTTACCCACATGGGAGTGCACTGTGGGCTTGGGAGACCTCGGTTTTCAGTGAGCAGCAAATCTTTGTGTTCTTTCTGTACATAGATCGGCTGCCATCTAAAAGCTTCCATCCCCTGTACCAAGGATGAGCTCAGGCACGTGACCAGGGTCAATTCTGTGGCTGTCCTGACGTTTCTCCAGTCTTCTCACATCAGCAGCCAGGAAGCTCTGAGTGTCCTAACTTATTCTGTATGCTGCAGGTGGGACGGGTACCATCTCCCCATCCCAGCTCCTCTCCACCCTTGCTTCCTGGATTTGTTCACACACCTAATTACCTCTTCCTGGCAACAGGCTGTGTGCCCAGTGACCCAGGATCTCATACAGGGAGATGAGGGATAGTGTTTCAGAAAAACACTTGGGTGGAGAAGAAGGTCGTGGCTGGGTACTTTGTTCTTTGCCAAGGTTGCTTCTAAACAGCCTCTGCCTCCAGCTGCCCACTTCCCATTGGCCTCTAATCAGCCTCCGCCTACAGCTGCCCACTTCCCATTGGCCTTTTTGTCACTCAGAAGAAGCTCAGAGCCAAACTGACCTTCCTAGGGCTTCTGATGCCTTTCAGTGTAATTTCAGTAAAATCTCTCCTTGTCTTCTCTCCCCTCTTTTGTGTCCTTTTAAAACATTTTAAATGTGTGTGTGTGTGCGTGCACGCGCGCGAGCGTGTGTGACACACGTATGCACGCGTGCGGTTGAGAACAACCTGCAAGATTCGGTTCCATCCTTCTGATGTTTGTGGCCCCAGGATCGAACTCAAGTCATTAGAGTTGGCAGCAGGTGCCTTTACTTAGAGGCAAGCACCTTTCCAGCTCAGCATCTCCTTTTTCTATTGAGACATGGTCTCGCTCTGTAGTCCAGGCTGTGCTACATAACCCAGGCTAGCCTCAAATTCACAGTCCTTCTGCTTCAGCCTCTTATGTTTAGGAATTCATGTGTGTGCTACCATGCTCAGCTCTGAGGAAACATTAGTAAGTAGTGAAGCCCACCTTCATTCGAAACCATGATGGCCTCAATTAACTAGAAAGATGTCAGGACTCCACTAGGCAGAATGTTCTTAGTGAAGTTTTGACATGGTAGCTTTTTGAAAAAGCTTAGAGCAGCAAATTGTTCCTGCGCAGTACTGTATATTTAAAAAGAAACTGATACGGTGCTGTATTTGTTTCTCTTTGAAAATGATTTCTTCCATCAATTATGAATCAGTTGGTCAAATTGCCCTGCTTGGGATGTCAGTGTCCCTCAATTGAATCCCACTTAATAGCGCCCTGGGAGACTGCAGATGCAGAAACCCGAGAGCCCTGTTATCATGAAAGCTCACTTCCCCGTCTCTCCCTTTCTTTCGTCTGATTTTTTTTTCTAACGTCACCTTTCTTAGCAAATCCAGAAACATGATAAGCAGATCTTACAGAACCATTGTTTCTCTGACATCTAGATGAAAGCTGGCTGTTTGGGAGTGTAGATTATATATATTTCAGGAAGCCACCCAGTTCCTGGCCTGAGCACCAAGTCGTTGCTTCAGTCTGTGAGCAATTTTGGTTTCCTGGATCGTGCTTGTCTGTTATTGTTCTTTCGAAAATGACAAGCAAAACACAGATTTCAGTCCCGGAAGCTGCTGGCTTTTCAGAAGAGACCCCCAGAGTCCTTGCTTTCAGGACTGTGGCTTTTAAAACAGGCTAGGGAACATATCTTGAGGTGACATGAGGCGGGCATCTATGGAAAGGATGCTTCCCATGTTGTTTGTAGTTACAGGGAGTTGAGCTCCAGTTCCCTTCCCCCTGCCCCCTGCATGTACTTTCCCTACTGACCCAGCCTTCCAGCGGAGGGAAGATGGCCCAGCAGTGTGGAGGCAAAGCTGTGAACAGACATATCAGATCTGAAGCACAGCACAGTTAGAAAATGTGACCCTCCAGAGCAGACTCCAGACCTGCCTTAATATCAGCCTGCTTGGCTGACACATGCCTAGATTGTGTTGACTCAGCACAGGAAAAGCCTGTTGGGTGAATTCATAAACCAGTCAGGCTTGGGAGTTAGTCGCAGATGATGGAAGGTGAGACATTTCTTTTTCTTCCCTGTGCAGGTGGAGTTAAAGAACAACAGCACTTCTGATGTACAGCATAGTGTGTTTAAGAATGCTCTACAGTTGCTTCAGGAAAAGGGGCTCGTGTTCCAGAGAGAAGGCGGCTCTGATAAGCTGTACTATGTAAGAGACCTGCAGCCTAGTGAGAGCGACCTCTTCTTACCCTTCCCTAATGTAACCATATCTCTGCTCTTGTGAAACAGTCTTACTCTGTAAACCCAGGCTGACCTTGAACTCCTAATCTCCTGGCTCCACCGATCCACGGCTTTGTAAGTGTGTGCCATTAACTCCCGATCCATGCTGCCTCTTGAAACCCGGTGGCCTTCTAAATATTTATCTGTACATTGACAGATAAGTAATTTACAAGCATGACCGACCCTATGGATTTTTTGTTTGTATGGAAGGAAGGAAGGGAGGAAAGAAGGAAGGAAGGGCGAGCGAGTTATCTTCTAACTGAGAAACCCTCATCCTCAGAGCCCTTGGTCCAGAGGATGATGCATTGGGAACTGTCCTGTGCACCACAGTGTGTTGACCAGCATCCCTGGCCTCTCTCACTAAATGCCACCAGCAGCTCCCATGTTGTGACAATCAGAAATGCCTTCAGGCATCACCAGATGTCCCACTGCTGTGAAGAGTGCTTGGCACGGCTTTCAGTGCCACCGTCCGTCCCAGCACCTGCGAGTCTGCCTCATTCTTTCTGACCAGGACTATTTACCAGAACTTTCTAGCCATTCCTTTATGATGGACACTATGGTGTCGTGTGACTTTTGCTGTCACAAATAGTGTTTCCTGGCCCCATCTACGTGGCTATCTGTGTGAGTTTGTGTCAGTAGTTCCAAGAACGGCTCAAGCAGGAGTGTGTCAGGAGCGCAGGACACCTACTTAAAACTTTTGGGTAACACTCCAGTCAGCCTCCCTGAAGGCCTTGCCTGGCAGCCTCCCTTCGGAGGACCAGCACGGCTGCTTGTTTGCCTCATTCTTTTCAGGGTAAAAGTTTGCCTCATGCTGCATACCTTTGATGTTGGAGGCAGTAAGCTGAGAGTGGACCACCCGTGTCCACAGTGGTGAAATGGCTTCTGAGTAGAGAGGCCTGGAGACAGGCTACTGGGCCTGACCGCTCACAGACTCACTAGAGGCCAACTTAGCAGGTCATTTCTTCTCTAGAGAAGCTTGTTCTTGTTTATTTAAGTAGGAGGGGTTTCCAGTGTTGAGAGGTAAGCCAATATAACATGAGTGCTGCCCACTCATCCTGGGATGGGAGGGCCAAGTAGGACACGGTGGTCATTGTCATACCAAGCAGGGAAGCTCAGCTGGGGTCCTCTTAGAGATTTGTGCCTCCTTCTACTCTGGGTTGGCTTCTGTGAGGGTCTGTAGAGAGCAGCCCTCTCTGGGAGGAGAGCAGCCCTCTCTGGGAGGCAGCCAGGGCTGCTGCAGCTGCCCAGGGAGAGGTGTGGCAGGGTTGGGCACTTCCTCTTGTGAATCACCATGAGCTGGAAGGGGTAGTCAAACAGGAATAGATCCCACGTCCCCTTGTGTGACTGACCCTCCCTTCCACTCATCCCTGATTGTGGGTTCCTTTTGTCCTGAAGCCCCTCTGGGGACAGTTAGAGCAGGCCATGGTTCTGTTCGCACCCATGGTTCACCTTCACACTAGTCTTGTGAGTCCAAAGTCAGCAGGTCTCACGGGCAGCTGTGGGCTGTCTCTTCCGCCCAGTTCTTCAGGTGTGCTTCCATGCTGAGGCTCTTCCTCCTTCCTTCTTCCTCTCTCCTTTTCATGTTCCTTCTTTCCTTCCTTCCCTCCTTCCCTCTTCCCCTTTCATCTCTTCCTCCCTTCCTCACCTTCTTCTTTTGCTTCCTCTCCCTCCCTCCCCCATCTTCTCTGCCTCTCTTCCCTCTGCTCTTCCCTCTCTTCCCCTCTCTCTTCCCTCTTGTTGTTAAATTTACTGCTGGAGCTGAGGGTGAAGCCTGCTGCTAGTTGAGAAACACAGTCGTGGGTGCCTACAAGGGCAGAGAACTTCCATAGATAAGCTGGATTCTCCAGCCTGCTGACTTCCCCAGGCCCATTTCTCCTTTAACTCTTCCTTCTGCTTAAAAAAAGAGAAACTAAAGAAATATAAGACAGGGGAGGGGACCAAGAGGAAGGAGGGCTGGGTCGGGGATGGAGCCTTTGAGCACTTGAACTCCTTCAAAAACATCAGGCCTGTAGGTAAGAGTGTGTCTGAGTGGGCCGCAAGCGTAGAAGAGGGCAGTGCCCCCTTCAAGGCACAGAGTTCCAGTTGTACTTTCTCTTCTGGCCCCAACAAACCAGCTCCTGAGAGATCTCTGTCCTTAGGGATACAGCTGAGCTGCAGGAAGCCACCAAGCATCAGAGTTACATTGCTGGGGGACGGCACATGGCGGAGGGTGTGAAGGGAAGGCTTACAGTTGTTATGGAATTTGTAGAACCGCCTCGAAGGCTGGTCTTGAATTCTGAGTAACACACTGCTGTGTTCTCACACCACGTTTCCTCTCTGGATTCTCCTTTTAGGTAACCACCAAAGATAAAGACCTGCACCAGAAGATCTACCAGATCATTAAGGAAGAGTGTCAGAAACCAAATCGTAAGTGTTTTGTGCATCCAGAGTTCCCTCCCAGAAGTAGACAGACTCAGGCTACTCTGTACTGACTCGGAGGGAGACAGCCAGGGCTTCTATCCTCCCTGAGACTCAGTTTCCCCCTCCTTTAACACATGTTGCTTGGGCTTTGGCTGGGCAGAGGAGTCAGCTTGTGGAGCTCCTGTAAGCAGCCCTGGGGCTTCTGATCCTGTAGGGACAAGCTGGAGGCTGACAGGTAAGGTCCCCTGGGATTTCTGGCACACTGAAGGGAACCACTGTGCTCGGCTTGGATGTGCTGCTCCTGGCCCCAGTGCTTACCACTATCTATGCTTACCACTGCCTTTGAATATGAACTTGGCATTCACCCTCTTTTCAAACATCAAGTATTTTTAGTATTAGGCAGAATGGTTTTTAGACATTACAGCTCATAAATAGCGAAATCCAGCCATCTTGGAAACTGATGAGTTACAAATGAAATGGCCTAGAAAATAGTCCGGGTTTGTGGAGTTAGGTCGGCCCCTAGTGGCTGAACACTCAAACTACAGCTAATCTGACAACTCGCATATCAGTTCACCCTAATTACAAAGAACACATCAGTCTTTGTCTTGAGTCTGTATGAACTTGGGAGTCTTCAAGGTGACCTTTCAGAGCCTAGCTTTTGCAAACATATGCCAGTAACAAATACTTACGTCAACATGATTCTGGGAGCAGAAAGGGTTGTGAGCCCTGGGTCCCCATCCTGTTTTCTTTCTCTCTGGAGAAGTCATTCACTCCTTTCAGACCCAGACAGTCAGCCTGAGTTACCAGGTAGAATGGGGCCAGGCCATTTGCCCTTTGTTTAGGACCCAGTGAGATCAGAACCCAATGTGGTGTGACAGCTAGACTTTAAAAAAAGAAAGAAAAGAAAAGGAATCCTCAGAGCAGTGTGTTACTTTAGTAATGGATATTGTTTGGCTCATTCATAGCAGTGAGAGCGCAGCACAGGCAGACGTGGTAACATGGGCCTGTAACCCCAGTCCCGGAGGGCTGAGGCAGGAGGTCAGCCAGGGTTAACATTGTGAGGTATGCATCTCTCTCTCCCCCTCCTCCTGCCCCTCCCTTTTTCCTTCCTCTTTCTCCTTCACCCTCCTGTGTGTGTCTGTCTGTGTGTGCCTCTGTGTCTGTGTGTGTATACGTGTGTGTGTGTGTGTGTGTGTATACGTGTGTGTGTATGTGTGTGTATACGTGTATTATATGTACCTGGTGTATATGCATGGAAGCCAAAGGAAGACTGTAGATGTCCTCTATCCCTTTCTGTCTTATTCTCTCTTTCTATCTCTCTCTCACACTTTATTTATATTTCAAATGTTGCCCTCCTTCCTGGTCCCCCTCCAAGAGTTCTTCACCCCTTCCCCTCCCCTTTCCCTCTGAGAGGGCGCTCCCCATCATGCTCCCTCACTCCCCCTACCTTACCTTACCCTACTCCCAGTCCCCCTTCCCTGGGGTATCCAGTCTCTACAGGATTAGGCACATCCTCTCCTACTGAGACCAGACAAGGCAGTCCTCTGCTACATATGTGCCAGGGGCCATGGACCAGGCCATGTATACTCATTGGTTGGTGGTTTAGTCTCTGGAAGCTCCAAGGGTCCAGTTAGTTGGTATTGTTGTTCTTCCTGTGGGATTGCTATCCCTTCAGCTCTTTCAGTCCTTCCCCTGTCCTATTCTCTTAAGACAGACTTGTCACTAAACATGGAGGAAGGCTGGCAGCCAAGGTGCTCTAACTGTTCTCCTGTGCCTACCCCTCCCTCCCCATATACACACAGTGCAGGGAGTACAGGCCCTCCTGCAGTCATCCTGGCTGATTTTACATGGGTATTGGAGATTTGAAATCTCAGGTCCTTATGTTTCCCAAAGAAGGAGTCTCTTCAGCCCACAAGACTGTCTCAGAAAGTAAAACCAATAGGCATCCTTTCATTGAGACGAATCCTCTCTGTCTTCTGCTTTGTGAGATCCTCAGCCAGAATGGATGGTCCCAAAATGTCATTCCTCCACACCGAATCCCAGGCCCCTCGGCCATGTTCTTAGATTGATATGCGCTGGGAGTGAAAAGCTTATAGCCTGGCACCTGTAAAGTAAATGAGAGGGGTTCACACTTCCTTTCTTGGAAGGACCTGCAGCAGCACAGTGAGCAGAGGCACAGGAAGAATGAATGACCAGTTTTCCTGGGAAGATGGCTCAGCGGGCTCAGCAGGTGGAAGTGCTTGCTCTGAGAGCCTGGTTATCAGAGTTCAGGTCCCTGGAACCCACAGGAAAGTTGGGTTCAGCGGCACACACCTGTGTTCCTAGCACCCCTATAGCAAAATGGGAGGCAGTTGGAAGGTTGTCCCGGAAGCTAGGGCCCAGCCAGCTGGCTTGGAGCGCAGCAACAGAAAGCAACAAGGTGGACGGCAAAAACCAGCTTACATATCCGTTCCATGGCATGTGCATATATATACACACACACCAATAAAGAAGTGAAAAAGTGACAGGTTCTATGTACACTGGCTGGTCAGTCCCTGCCTGGGCTAGTGAGCCTATCAGGGGGACAGCTCTGTCATTGTCTATATGTGAGTTAGGGGGACCCTGCAGGTGGTCATGGCGGGCATGGAAGTGAACCAGAAAGAGGTGAGAATGAAAACTCACTTCAGATTAGTATCGTCAACCTGGATTAAACCTCTGGAGTCTGGTGCCAGGGGTTACTGCCAGTTATTTAAACCCAGTATCATTTGGAAAAGAAGTTTCCAGGTGTAATACAATCCCTGTGCACAAGGTATCATTACACTGAACCTCAACACAGGGCACATGTCATTTCTTCCAAGAAAATGGGTTCTGGAGATGGGCTGCGTGTATTAGCTTAAGGGTCTGGGGGAAGGGGGATCTGGCCTGGTCTGCTCATACAGGTAGTGTAGAGGACGTTTAGGTTATTAGCCACCTCTGGTCCTGGTTATGAGAGCTTGGGGGAGCCCCTAGGTCATTTAGACCATTAGGTATCTTTGGTCCTGGTTGAAGGAGCCACTGGCTGTACAGGTAACGTACAGGTCATTTAGATTACTAGCCGCCTCTGGTCCTGGCTGTAAGAGTTTGATACGTCCCGGCCCAACAGATACAGCAGATCAGCAGGCTGTTCATCACCTCCAATTCCCAGATTTCTGAATGGAAAAAGAAATTCTACATATTTCCCATTGGAAAGACATCCTGGTTTTCCTGGAGATCTGGGGGTGCAAGGAACCTTTGCGCTCTGCTCCCAACACATGCAGGCTACTGAGAGCTGTAGGCCAATCACCTAGTTCAAATAACTCCCAACAGAGTGCGGTGTAAGACCTCACAGGAGCTCTCTTAGCGTCAGCTGTGACCACTGTCTTCCTGTTGTCAGAACCTGTGGTAGTGAATGCTAATGTGTGCATTTCCTGAGAAGCCAGACGCCCTCTCCACACCAGACCAGCATCCGTCTGGGGATGCTCTGTGCACGTGCAAATACACAGTCCTACTTTTCTAGAAACTCAAGGTTGGGCTGTGATCTGCATTGTCTGAACCCAGCATTGGGCTCTACAGGTCACTGGCAGTCACACTGTGCTTGGGAAAAGCCTCTGACTTCTAAGTGGCTCCATGCTATTCCACAGATGTCCAGAGAGGTCAGTCTATTCATTTCATCATTCCTACTGGGCCTTTCATGTAAAACAAGCGATGGGCTGACAAGGAAAATGTCTACACTACATTAGCTCCCTGAAGGACTAAGGGGTTTGTCTGAAAGGTGGGCAGCATGTGGTATCAGAGCGTGACTGCAGAGCAGGTGACAGTAGTGTCTACCTGAAGGACGTGAATCAGTGTTCACAAAGCTGTGGAGAGAACTATGCTTTAGGCTAGAAAGGGGTGAGAAAAGTGAGGTTCCTTTTCCCGAAGGGACAGTGACTGGTAGCCCTCAGCTCTGGCCTGGGCTCCTGGAGGCTCGTTCTAGCTCTCTGCCGCTCAGCTGAATATTGAAACAGAAACTAGCAATTTCAGGTGGGATCGTTGAGTGGATTTTTCTCTATTATAAGGAGCTTATAGATTTAAAAGCCTGGATTTCAGCTTTACGTATGGTATAACAACGGTCAATTATCCTGAAAAGAATTGTATGCTACAAGTGTCTCTTGACTCTGAAAATGTTATCATGAGTACAAAAATTAAGCAGAAAACGTGCAAATAAGCGTCTCACCTGGATTCCCTGGGAGAGTCCAGCTCTTGGGCACAGTGATGTCCTTGTGTATCCGCTATGTCCTTTTTACATTTAACGAGAGGGTACATGGGAAGTGCTTCTGAAATGGCAGCATTTTGAAAGTAATGAGTCGGTACAACCACTAGGGGTCACAGTCTAACGTTTGTTAGCCTGGGACCTCAGGCCATGAGAGGATCACAAGTGCTCCCTGTCCCACAACCAGTAAACAGCTGATTCTCATGGGTGCTGTGACTTGCTCACGGCTACAAAGCTGCTTCTCTGAGTGCCTTCCCCACTCAAGCCCTTTGGTTACCATGTGAACGCAGATCAGCTATTGTGTGCAGGGGCTGGGCCTCCGAGGAGGGCCTGGCTTTTAGTAATGAGGTTCTGCTGTGACTTAGGATATTGTTTATGTCAAGATGTCCAGATGAAGTAAAGGGACAGAGCAGTGCGTTTATTCTAGTCTACTTTAGTCTGCTTGGTAGGGAGAAGATTGTGCTAACCCATGAACGTAATGATCCCCTAACACCACAACCCTCAGTAGGAAACCCGGGGGGCGGGAGCGAGGGGAGCCAGCCTTCAGCTTTCGTCACTGAGTGCCCAGTGCTCTTAGTTTGGGGTCAAAGGTAAACGATTACTAAACTACAACTGCCACAGACATGACCCAGTGAAAGCCAGAAGAGGAACATGGGCCGGGCTAAAGGTAGGAATCCCTTAGCCATGCGAGCCCATTGAGTCAGGACCTCTAAGAAAGACCAGCTCTGCTGCGAGTCCAGAGGCCTCCTGGGAAACCAGGGTTCAGTACTGTGTACCAGAGAAAAGGGTTTGTCAGGACTACACAGCCATTAGGTCAGGGGATACAGACTGACTGGAAGCCTTGACGGTTGACTGTTGAAGAGCAGAGCTTTGAGAAGTGGGCTGTGTCATGGAGGCAGGCATGTGGAGCCAGGCTGTGTCACAGAAGATCATGTACACCAGTGCACGTCAGACCTTAGTGTGAAAAGAATCTTCTTGGATCTTGACATGATGCATGCCGCCTCAGGAGGCCTGGAGAGGGACAGAGGAGGGCCTGGCTGTCACGATCACACTTAGTGTCTGCCCTTGCCCACAGATATGGAGAAGGGCTGCCACTTGCTGCACATCCTCAACTGTGTGCACCTCAGCCTCCGCTGGGACCTGAGCAAGGCTGTGCTGCAGCAGGTGCTGGAGCTCCTGGAGGACCAGAGTGACATCGTGAGCACCGCAGACCTCTACTACACGGCCTTCTGAGCCGAGCCGTGGAGCAAAGACAGGTGGCCTTCCCCCAGGTTCTGCTCACAGGCACAGTACAGACTTACATGTGTATAATCCCGTAATAAATTCTGATAGTCACAAGACTTACATGTGTATAATCCCGTAATAAATTCTGATAGTCACAGGAAAATAGGGCTGCACTTCCTGCTGCTTGCTGTGTCCTGAGACAGATGGCTTTGTTGTCAGCCATGACACACACAAACCCTCCTTGTCAGCTCCCTGGCTGGACTCAGCGCCACTCAGTAGAATGGGAGGAAACAGTGTTGCTGGATTAATTACTGTGTCTGAATTCAGGGGCCCCATCTTCATAGAGGGACATCCCAGGGTCAAGACTCCTACACATCTGGAGAGCCAGTAGCCAGACTCCACTGTCTGAAAATGTCACACTCCAGGTTACCACACACGTCCCCACCAGGTGCCCCTGATGTGTTGAAAGCTCATATGGGACCCTGCCTCCTCCAGCAATTGACATTTGCCTCTGGGTCCTGAGGCTTCAGCAGTAGCAGTGAGGGCTGCTGAGGCTTGCGCATCTGCATTGGAAAATAAAGAATCTGACACATGGCTTGTGCTTTAATTCACTTCCTTATGACTTGAAAGTTGTCTCAGAATGTTTCCCTGCACTCAAAGAGGTGCCCAGCTAAATGTGTGGTCCCTCAGTGGTCCCTGAAGATGGCAGAGGCTGTCAGCCAGCTGTCTGGCTGATAGTGTTATTTTCATGGTTGCCGCTGAGTGTGCAGGGTGTGCCGACACCATCCAGACGCAGCTTGGTATGTGCCCAGACAGGTGATGGAGTCATGCTTTTGCTCAGAATGACAAGGTAAAGAAAGCATCTGAGTTATGTAGCAGGCTTGTTCCAACAGCAAATGGCAGATCCAGCCAGCAGAAATAAAAGTACAGAGAAAGATTTGGAGTTAATTACAGTCATTTTGCAGAGGGCACATCTGCCTTAGTCTGCTGGGCTAGCTTTTGACGTAACTTGAGTCTGGATGGCTCAGCTGGAAATCCCTTGGGCCCAGGAGCTATTCCAGACCTCTGGTGACTTCTTATTAATAACGATGACACAGCCACCTTCTCTTCCCTTTGCCCGGAAGGGTCTCAGCTGAGTAGGATCTGCATGGAGTTCTTCCAGCTCAGCAGCTGGTCCACGTTGAATGGCTATGTCTTGATTAGTGGAGCCTTTCGAGAGGGAGCCTAGAGTCGGCATGAAACGCTCATGTGCTGGATCGAGCAGTTTCCTGAGGATTCCTCTCAGGGGGATAGCACACAGGTGTGAAAATCATGAATGTACAAGATGTCCATCACTGTCTAATCTACAGCCATTTATATTTGGAGAAGTTGAATGTAAACCACACAATGAAATACTACACAGCCACTAAAATGATGGTGCAGATGGCTAGCCACTGTTGCCATGGCCAGTACTCCAGGAGATGTGTGAGGAGAATGGAGTTATGGGGCTGTTTGTGTGCCATAACGCCGTTGGTATAACACTCCTTTATGTCTTTACGTAATCAGTAAATGTGTCTAGCACAGGTCTACACAGACAGCCCCTCATTTCCCCCTCCTAGAAACACTTGCTGCGTTTACCTTTCAGGACACCAAATTCCCAGGCGGCAACTTTACTTAGTCTTCTGTCGTAGTGCTCAAGAGTCAGTCTCAGCCCCAGACCTCATTTCTAGTTATTTTGTTCTCCAGGGAGCTTAACCTCAGGTCATGTCATTTGCATGCTGCCGGACATCCCAGGTGGCATGAGATTAGGCCTGTCTGCCATCCTCATACCCCTATATCCTCATACTGGCATCTACTTGGGTGTCTTATAGATGTCACCAGCTTAATCTGTTCAGAGCCAGGTCTCTGGATCACCCCAACCCCAGCCTTGCTCCTAAGCCCCGCCCCCAATGCAGGAGATGCCGGTTCCATTCCCCAGCCACTCAGGTCAAATCTGTCAACAGCTTTCTCACAGTCTACACCCAAGCCATACTCTGTAGCTACAAACTGTCTTGACTCCTCCAAAATGTTTCTAGAATATACTTCTTACTCCCGCACTTCCTCCTTGAGTATTGCTGGCTCTTCCTCTCTTGCTCAATATCAGTCTTCACCCTCCTTATCACGTTCTCGGCACTGCAGTCACGAGAGTCCTGCACTGGTTCTACTTTCCACAGCCTTGAGTCTTCACAGGTGGGAGCCTGAGGCATCCCCGTGGCCAGTAAGGCTCTGCTGGGCCTTCCTCCAATTCACTATGACCAACCTTTACTGCTCTGGCTGTGCTCAGCACACCAGGTACACTCTTGCCTGGTGACAGGCCTCTGCTCTTGTCCTTCAGGTCTGTGTCCCTCTCCTTAGTGAGGCCCACCCCAGCCCTCGTTGATCATAACCAATTTCTGCTCCTCAGCTTTGTTCAGCCCACAGTGCTAGTGACTGCCTAACGCACTCCAGATGTCTGCCTGCTTGCCCTGTTTATCATCTGTCTCCCTAGTAGAATGCTCCAGAAGGCTAGGATTCCTTCTTGTTTCCTGTGTCCCCCGTACCCAGTCAGTGCCTGGCACATCTTTCACAAGTTCCACTTTTGTTTGTGACTAGCTGTTTCCAGCTCCTCTTGCCTTCATCTCCTGAGGCTCCCCCCAGTGTTTGGAAATGTGGTCAGTCCGGGAATGCTCAAATAACATCCCCCCAAAACAAACGTGCCAGGGCACCTGGGTTATAGCGACTCAGATTCCCTCGTCCTCGAAGATGTGGCTATGATATGTGCTGTCCAGAGTTTCTCTGCACAGCCCAGTGCCCTCCACCCATCCTAACTTGATATTTACCAGCATTCCTTGTCTGTCTTCTCCCTTCCTCACTCCTGCTCTCTGCATCTCCCAAGTGGAAGTTCTTGCTTTCTTGAAGTCTTTGCCTCTGGGTCAGTTTCTGGGCAAAACTACATCAATATCACCCTCCCTGATTCATTTGAAAAGTGTTACATGCGGATAACTGTACGAATCAGACATTATTAGAAATGCTCGCCAACGTCTGACATCTGTTTCCTCTGAAAGGTGAGATGCCAAATGCTTTTGAATTCATGTCTTCACAAGTCCTAGCTCTTAACAAAAAAGTAGAGTGAGCCAGTGAGTGAGATGGCTCCGCAGGTGAAGGGACACGCTGGTGACCTGAGCTCATCCCTGGAACCTGTGTGAAAGTGGAAGGACAGACCCACTCTACAGGGTTGCCCTCTGACATCTGGAAATATCGTCAGTCTGGGAACGCTCAAACTAACATCCCCACAAAACAGACTCATCCAGGGCACCTGGGTTATAGCGACTCAGATCCCCTCGTCCTCAGAGATGTGGCTATGATATGTGCTATCATATCGTACTGTGGCATGCGCACACACAATAATACATTTAACATGGGCTGGAGAGGCTGGGCGGTGGTGGTAAACACCTTTAATCTCAACACTCAGGAGGCAGAGACAGGCAGATCTCCATTCCAGGACAGCCAGGGGCCTGTAAAGAGAAACCCTGTCTCAAAGAAGAGGCTGGTGAGATGACTCTGTGGTTAAGAACATAAGGGCATGTACTGCTCTCCCAGAGTTCCAGTTCCAGCCACTGTGTGAGGTGGTTCACAGCCACCTGTCACTCCAGTTCCAAAGGACCCAACACCCCATCCTCCTCTGCACCAGCCCTCATACATGCTCTTCCCCTCCCACATAATGAAAAATAATGTATTTCTCATCCCCCAGAAACAAGCCTGGGAGGCCTCTGCCCCACAATCCTGTCAGGACACTGTAGAGCTGAGCGAAGCTCTTGGAAAACCTTCGGGGACTAAATGGTGTTGAGCTATAGCTCATGTGTATGCAAAGACCAACCAGAGGGTCCCTGAATGGGACATGTGGAATGAAGCCCTCCAGCTCTGGGTGTATGCTTGTTTGGAGAAGTGTGGGCCCACACATAGCTTGTGGAGGCAAGAGGACAAACGGTGCTACTGTCTAGCCGTGGGTTTGTTTGAAGAGCCATGATTATCCCCATCTGGTAAACTACCAGTGCTCTTCATTCCTCTAAGACACTCCTTTGTAATTATTTTCCCCTCTGATGGTGTGCCAGGATACTGGCCAAAAAAACCAAGTGGGATAAAGTCCATTCAACTGTGAGGGACTCAAGACCCAGTGCCAATGACTGAAACCAAGCAAACTTCTAATTTCCCATTGGCAAAAGCATCTACACTTTCTTATTAATGTGGTTTCTCTTCCACAAGTGGCTTCTACGAGGCTACCCAAAAAACATCTCTTTGTTCCCTTTCTGAGTTTATATGAAGCCTATGGGAAACTCAGATTATGAGGTGTCTCACTAGGGACACCAGCAGCAGGCACTGGGAAAAGGGTGTGCAGGGCCATCCTGAAGGGGTGGGGTCCCAGGGCAAAGCTTTGTAACAGACGTTGATGCCTGCTGTTCGGGCAGAGGGCTAAGTGTGAGTCTCTCCTCAGACCACTGGGGTGTGTGTAGTGCCAAGTTTGACTTCAGCCTGTTTCTATTGAAATTTGACAAGCTGTCTACTGCCTGCTGACTTCTGCTGTATTTATTAAGACAAACAGGGAAATCCCAGAATAACACCAGGCTGTATATTCACAAGAATTCCAAATCAGACCCCAAAGGTCTGTAATGACGAAGTCAAATGCTGCATTTTCATTTGAGATCAGAAAGGGGAAGCTTGCAGACCACTTGATGGCTTCAGTTTGGGATTGCTTCTTACATTTGTTTAGAGTGTGTGTGTGTGTGTGTGTGCCTGTGTCCGTGAACATGCCTGGTCACACACGCAGCAGAGGACAATGTATGTGAGTTGTTTCTCTCCTATCATGCGGGTCCCATTGGTTGAAGTCAGGATATCCGGCTTGACAGCGAGCATCTATCCACTGAGCCATCTCACTGCCCAGATCTTAAACTTTTGCTTCTGTTAAGTCAGGAAAGGTAGTATTTCATTAGTTCAGATTTAGTAAGTGGTCTATATGAACGAGTGAGAGACATGAGGTTGAAGTGGTGCAGTCTGTCTACTGCAGGTCTACCAAGAAATTCTTATTAAGTCTGAAGGACCATGAGAGAACAGGTTTCTGCTCTTACAGAACCAACCCTCTGTAATGAATGAATGTCTTACTTTGAGTTATCCATTTTTTGTTATCACTTAATGATACCTTATTTACTATCTGAGATTTAGGTGATTTAAAGTTACTTGAGCACGGGCCTGGGGAGATGGCTCATCGATCGGTTCAGAGTCCGTCTTGACTGTGTTAGCATGAGGACCAGAAACAACTTGGGAAGGAAAGTGTTGGTTTGGCTTACATTCCATATTATAGTTCATTATGAAGTCAGGACAGGAACTCAAGCAGGGCAGGCGCTGATGCAGAGGCCATGGAGGGTGCTGCCTACTGACTTATTCCTCATGGCTTGCTCAGCCTGCTTTACTATAGTACCCAGGACCACCAGGCCAGGGATGGCACCACCCACAGTAGGCTGGGCCTTCCCACAACAATTGCTAATTAAGCAAATGCCCTTCAGGCCTGCTTTTAGCTGATCGTATGGAGGCATTTTCCTAATT